GTGTGTAATTCAGTGCTTAAAATGTGAGCAAAGAGTTAATCATTCTTTGTAAATATACATGCCAGTACATAGTTCAGTTTGCTTGGTATGGAGGCATGCCCAGGGTGCGGACTTTTATCTTTTCCTTTAGAGCAGCTGCCATGAGCAAACAGACCTGTCGGTCTTCAGAGATTTCGGTTTCCCACCTATTATTGAGTCCAGATATATCTTGAAGCATCGTCATGTGTCGGGTTCTATGAATCCACTTTTTGTACTGTTCTAGACACTGTGTTCTTTAAAAGAAGTTTCCTGCCATCATCGCCTCTCTAATGCACATCAGATGATGTGATCCTGAATGTTACTGGGTGAATTGATGAAACATCTGCAATTTGTGTACTTCTCTTAACTAGTTCCATTACTGTTAGTATAATGGCTAATGGGTTAGAGCATCTGCTACAACTAAGATGTTTTTATGCAGTAAAAAAGGAGAAAAACTTAATCAACTTAAAGTGAGTTCTGTAATTTAGAACCGTTCTCTTGAAATACAACAGTAAATTATTATGTGCATACAGAAAGTGAACAATTAAACACTACTTTCATACTTTGATAAAATGTATTTGGGTAATTGACAAATGTGTTTTTAAACTCGTTACTATGATTGGAAGCTGTACAGTCTTTATAATCCATTTGTATTTGTGATCATAAGATTAATATGAATGATAAGCATACACAGTATACATTTTATTTTTTGGTTGTTCCATTCATACATTTGGTCATATTAGAACAAAAGCCTACTTTCTGTTGAACTAGGTTACCATAAGAACAATTAACACCAGAAGAAGCAATTACTTTAAGGAAGTTAGGTACCAGACTAGACAACATGGTTAAGTGACTTGGTCCACATTCCTACAACCCTTTGGATAAGGAAGTGCCTCCTGTGTAAGTTTTAAATGTACTTCCATTCTTTTTCCACTTGTGTCCTATGGATCACATTCCTTTGGTTATTCTGAGGGGTTCTCTGGGGTTGACTGTCAGTGCACTTGAGGGTTTTGAACACTTGAATCAAGTGATTCGCAATCTTTTCTGTTCAAGCCTAAAAAAGGATCTGTGCCATCCTATAAGTGCGGAACTTTCCCTTAAATCCTGGAATGTATGTAGTGTTCTCCACCTTCTCTGATTCCAGAGCACCATTGTCTTTTCTAGAACTTGGAGACCAAAAGTGTAAACAGTATTCCAAATTATACGTTTAAAGAACGTTATACAATTTTAGCATAATATCCTCTTTTTAAATTCTACACTGTCCGTATATGCTAACATTTTGTTAGCCTTTTAAGTGTTTAGAAGGTATAAACAGTGTGTCGACAAGAACACCTAGGTCTTTCTCATTTATATTTATATGTATTTATATCGTAACACTTTGGGGTTCACGTGGGCGCCCTCGCCTCTGCCGAATCAGGGACTCGAACCCGGGCCTCCGGCGTCACTCAGCAGGGACCCAGCCTCTTGAGCCAAAGGGAGATCTCCCCTCAGCCCACCGGCTGCGGTCCCTGCTCTTCACAGGGAAGGGCGGTGACGTCACCGCGCTGGTGAGCCGGCTCTCGCAACCTGTAATGTTGGCCGCATGCGTTACACTGTGTTGTTTTGTGATGTGCAGGAAAAGCCCTGCCCTTGTCAACAGTTTCTGCCAGGTGTTTGTGAATTTTATCTTGAATATTTTTGTATTTCATTCCTGCTCCTACAGTGTTTCCCAGTCTCTCTAATTGGGTGTTATTTGCAAATTTTACTGGTTTACTAACCCAGCATTTACAGCATTTAATTTAATTGGGAAGGGCAGTGGCCCTACTGTAGATCCCTGTGGGTCTCCACTAATTACATCAGTGTGAGCATTCATGCCTTTTAATAAACGTATTGAGGACTGACAAACATTCACTTCTAATACATTTCCTGTGTAAACATCAGTATTTATTTATGTCTTTGAGTCAGTAACAGCATGAAGTCTGCAAGCTTTTGGAATGAACAAACTCTTTTTAATCATTTAAGATGATATGCTACAGCTGTGTTGCCTTCTTTCCTCTATTGCTAGGTGATCCAAACGTTTTTTTTTTCATTTTTACTTCAGCATGTAAATGAGCTGTTCATTTCTGGAGATTGGATCTCCTCATGAACTCCTTCGTTGCATTGGTTGTATGTCCTGGCTCATTATGTTGTTAGTCTTGGTATCTGCATTGTAATTGCACATAAAAAGGAGATTTTATCACTCATATTACAGAATTGCTTTCATTGATTGTATTATGAAACACCAACCCCACTTACATTTGTACCCATTTGTCCAGAATAAAAAATGGAAACATCACAGATAGGTTGTCATAATCAACCTCACAAGATGATACCGTGGCCTTAGATGTGATTTTATTTTCAGCGATTTCTAAAATTAAGTGCCTCAGAAATGCATTCCTGGGCATTCAGTTTTAAAAGTTTTCGCAGCGGGACTTGCAGGAGGGTGAACCCCCACCTTGACCCCCGTTTTTAGCTGTTTCTATTGTCATCCTTCCCTCTTGGAAATTCTTCTAAATCCACTGCGTCAAAACGGACACTTCAGCACCACAGCTCGACTCGGGGACACTTGGGTGCCTCCGCGATTCATGCTTTGGCCCCTTCTTGCCTTGTCACAGCAGCGTTGGTGCTGACACTGCCGTTCCCTGCCACTGTTAGCTAAGCGGAGAACCTGAAGTGACACTTGTGACCACTAGGTAGTAGGCGACTGTACTACAGACAGAGTTTGAAAAGAAAATCAGCTCTGCAAGGCGGAGAAATTGTTTTAAGCCGATTCCACCGTATTCCAAAATGAAGCTGAAACTCAGCGTAGGATTATTTTTAATGTCTCAGATTTCTAAACATACCATTAAAGTTTAGACATGTACTGTACATAAGCGATGAAGGTGTTATAGCTTAAATTCCTCTGCTCTCATGACATGTCGGTTCATGAATTTCGATTCTCTGAAGTTGGCTTTTTCCACAATATTGTCTGTTGATTGAGGAAAAGAAGCAGAGCATGAATGCAGATTTACGGGCAAAAATAAAAAGTTAAAAACAATACGTAAAGCACACAGTGCAATGTTCTTAACCTTGTTAACCCTGTTACAGTTTACATTTCTTTTCTGCAAACTACGTTATGTACCCTGATTGCTTCTAAAGGACTTTAGGATTCCCAGCAGCCAGTACTCTTCTTGGCAGGATACAGCTGGGCTGGATGTACAGTAAATGTTTAATGTTGCCTCAGGATTTAGTTAATTAATGGTTTATTTCTGTAAAACACCCATTTATCTCTTTGAAGAGAAAATGTGGGTAAAACCATTGATCCAAAAAATGTATTGAAGCTAAGCTTAATTATACCTCGTAAAAAACTGAGTTAAGATACTGTAGAATAAAAATTTTAAATTTTTATCTAAAATGATCACTTAACAGCTCATATATATATAGTCCTGATACACAAAAGAAATACTACTCTGGTAAAATAAGTTGAATAAATATTTTATACAAATTTGTCAAACACGATCACAAAAATTGGGAAATAAATTTCAAAATTACACATTACTACCAATGTGGCAAGACGTGTTAAATGGCCTCCTCTCATTTTTAACTGTTTTATGTACTGATGTATTTCTTCTTTGGTCGAAGTATCGTTAAGGTTCTGAGGCTACATTGTTTTCGTGGAATGATGAACATAATTTTCTGATTGTTGTTTTATTAGTGCATTGTAATACTTGCATAACTTCCTTGGTGTGAAATTTGACACACTTTCCTACAGTATGTACCCAAGTGTTCCTCACGTGCTTCCTCACATGCTCCTGGACGGGACATAAAAGAATTTCTGTAAACACCCAGATCAATTTCACGCCTACAGTAGTTTCCTCTAGCTCAGAATCACCCATGATATATGGTGTATTTTCCTACTACCAGTGTGGATCACTTTGCTCTTATCAGTGTTAACTGTCGGTTACCAAGTCTCAGCCCAGTGCATGATTGTAAGTTATTTATTTGTTTCTTGTCCGTCTTGTAAAGGACAGTAATTTCTGTTCCATCTGTTGAGGTTGAGGCCGAAGCAACAGAAAACAAGTCAAGTTTCAGCTTTGTTAGGCTTGCAGTCTCTATCATTTTGATATTCAAATGGTCGAAACACTTAAAACATCTGAAGCTCTTCTGTGCACATCTGTAATAATTGCTGCACAATGTTTACAACCGTATGGCTTTTTCCTCTCAAGCTCGAATCGGAAATTGCACTCCTGTGGAGTTGAGTTGCACAGTGGGACGACCAGTATGAATGTCCATGCCGTACAGTGTGTTATGAAGTTAAGCATTTCTCACCTTGGCAGCTGTTTCTTTGTCTGCATTGCTGTCCTTTGCCTTTAGAAAGGAACTGGCCATCAGTTGTTTCTTGGCTTTAATTAAGTCTTGGCAAAACAACCATTGCTTAAACATGAGAGGTTCCTGAGACCTGGAATTTTTCTCGAAGCACAACATGGATACAGTATCCTGACAGAAGCAAGGGATTATACAGGCCCACAGGATGAAAGGAGAAGCTGATCTGCTTATTACATTAAAAAGAGGGAACTTCCTGTGCGCTACAGGAATAGTTTTGCCGTGCCTGCCTGTGTTGGAGGATGAGGAAAGAGAGCCCATGGTGCTCAGCTGAAGAAGGTGGTTGTGAAACGGGGGTGACGTGGGGGCGGTGGGTTGTGAGCCCCCTTGCAGTGCAGGACTTTTTTCCTTTGTCTGATGTGCAGTCCTCTTAAAACGGCTTCATACCCTCCAATAATCGGTGGGGAGCTCCCTTCACTCTTTTTACATGACCTCACTGTTCCTCGGCGGGGGTTGAGCCGAAGCCTCTCAAGGTGTTCGTGCTTTTTTAGCTGCAGGCTACAACTTTTCTTCCTGAGAGCTCGCGCTGGGATGCTGCCAGAGGTGTGAAGCCCGGCGCTGCGAGGCCCAGCCTCTCTCTGCCGGGCTGCGACATGTTGTGGCTGTCTTTGATGCGGGCTGGTGAGACCGGTTTGCGTTTGATCGAGGAACCGGTTTGTCCAGCCTCCTATGCCAACAAATTCAGGTATGATCCAAGGTCCCAGGGAATGTAAAAACCTGCCCAGCCAGTTAGATGAAAGGCATATTAGGTTATCCGTTGCACATTATATAGACGCTAGCAAGGGAGCAGAGCTGCCTAGTCAAGGAGGTGTTCTGTTCCAGCTGCCTCTCTGATGGCCAAAGGAGCTGTCTCCTTAAGTGGACAGAGAATCTTTTAGCTTGAGAGGAAGCGAACGCTTGAAGATTTCTGTGCAGTCCAGGGATGCTTATGTGAGATGGTGAGTGCAGTTCACTTTTTTGGGGGGGATTTCATCAGTTCTGCACTGTGAAAGTGTAGTGTTTTTAATATAACCCTTTGTTTATGATTTTTTTTTCTAGCCTGATTTTATTTTATTTGTATTTTAAGAATCTACATCCACTTTAGCTTTTTTTCACGTTGTTTAAGAAAAACTGAATATTGGGGGGCATTGTTAAAAAAAACGTTTTCTTTAAAAAAAAATAGTGACTGATTAACCAGTGTTTGCCCGGTGGTACCAGCACTGGGAGAGAAAGGAATGAAGACATGCTTCATCACGCCCCTGACTCCTGTGAGTTCGTTTCCACCTGAAGCCTGTGTGGCTGTGAAACCTTAGCTCACTAACATCTAGAGCTATACACAATTTAAGAATATGGGTTTGTCTTTAAGTAATTGTAGTGTGACATACATTTTGGCTATAATGCATTCACCTGCAATAAATAAGCATGTGGCTGTCCTCTGCAAACTATTTTAATTGATATATCTGGAATACTTAATTTGGGAAGAACCCCCTGATAGTTCAGGTCGAAGATGCAGAGTTAGTGGAGTCGCCATGTGGTTGGGATCAGAAAACGCCTTCATTGTGAAGCTCCGCAAAGACTTACTGTACATGTGCACTGCGCATGGCTTCTCTAACCACGGCGAGAGGGACAGACGTGCCACAGTGTCTTCCCACTCCATTTTCCTTGTCCAGTGTTCAGAGAAACAGTAGGAAACGGGATGCAGTGATTCTGTAAAAGAACTGAAGGAGAAATATGAGATATGCCAGGAATTTTTGGCTGACCTTCTACTCTCTTCCACTTGCAGAGTAGAGATTGTAGAGTGAGAGTCTCTGTTGTCCGTGGAAGATAAGACAGGGCTAATGAGGCTCAAGAGCCGAGGGTAGAGTTTTTACTCTGTGTAACGTTAATTCCTCTTTTGGATGCAGGGTTTTAATTGCAGTATCGCGTTGCAGGACTTGCACTGTAACTTCTGTACACTGTATAATTCTGTCATTTGTGGCTTTGCAGTAGTTTCCCACAGAGAGCTGATTGGCAATCTTCCAGAAACAAACTGCTTTGTGTTTTAATGACCTCAAGGAAAAAAGTTACCCTGTGAAAACGTAATGTATTTTCAGTTCCTTTCAAAACCTTATTTTTGTTTGAACTGTATTGGAGCAGTAACACATCACTGCAGAGCTCTTGTGTCGTGGGAGCTTAAGAGCAGTTGAAATGAAAACTGCTGTTTGTCTCGGTTCTGTACTGTGACCTGGCTTTTTGCTGCTGCTCTTATTCAAGTTTGATTTTGTTTGTTGTTTATACTCTTAGGAACATTGTGCTTTAGGAATGAAGTGATTGTCTTGAACAGAAACATTTGAAAACCTCAGCTTTTTTCCTGTATTTTTTATGACAGGCATCTCTGAAAACAGGTTTCAGCTAAATGGATTTGTATTGTGCTGCTGTGTATGAATTCTAATAAGCAGAAGTATAATAAGTTGTAACAGTTGCCTACCATCGTAAACTGGATTGATAAGTTAAAATGGTTATTTGCATTCATTTGTGGAACTGCTTCACTCAGTTTGGCACAGCTATGTGCTTTTAAACAGTTGTTTAACGTGGAGGGCTTTTTCTTTTCCAGAACATAAGAGTAAGGTGTAATTTCCTAAAACTTGAATGTGGCACGTTTTAAGCCTTGCATTATTGAGTAAACCAGCAGCACAGCTTTAGATTCATTTCCTGTTTTTTTTATTTTTGAAGCTTATGAGTTCTTGGCAAAATGTACATGTCCTGTGTTTTAAGCTTTAAAGGGATCGGGATTTTTGCTGAATGTCCTTAAAGGTTTGCTAAAACTGCAGCCTGGTGCTGAAAATCCTCTGTCCAAACACCCATTAGGAGGGATTCTGACTTCGACTTGAGTCGATGATGGCACAGACGGTCACTTTGCACCACTGGCTCCGTAGTCAAGCACAGACACCGTGTGTCTGAGCCCTCGGCAGGGTTACTGCTGCAGCAAGAATGAAGCAACTGGGAATCGTTGGCTGTATTTGTAACTGGTCTTCCCTCAGGTTGCTCCACTTGCCCATTAAGCCATGAAGAAATAAGCTGCGACGCATCATCAGTGTGACAAACTAACCTGTCTCAAATGGGTCACTGCTCACCAGCTCACCGCTGTTTACAAAGCCAATGGTAGAATAGTCACACAGCACCCGGCTTTAGTTATGACATTTTTTTAATTAAAAAAACATGATGAGAACAATTTGTTTTTTGTGCGGAAAAAAAGCTACGTTAAGCTATGCGAAGCTTTCTGGGGAGAGAAAGTGCTTGTTCCCCTCAGAAAACCGGTCTGCTTTCTGACTTTGCAAACGTTCAGCTTCAGTGAGATCATTACACAGAGCCTTTAGATAATAAACGTGTGTGGACGACAGGAATTTATTTGTTTAAATTTAACTGCATTAGAACTTTTTTTTTTGATTGGGTGAATCTGTGCCAGAGGAGTACTTTCTCACAGTTGTCCTTTATGGGTGTGACTGTTTAATTAACCTGAGATCCCTTTGCTCTACCAGTCTGACCGCTGAGGCAGCTTCAGTTTGACGTCACCCAGTCAGCACTGTGGATCTGATGTGCGGTGTGCAGAGCAGATTGACTCTGTGGCTCAGGATCTGCGCCTGTGGCTGGACGGTTGCCTGTTCGAATCCCACGGCCGGCAGAGGAATCCTATTCCGCTGGGCCCCTGAGCAAGGCCCTCCACCCCAGCTGCTCCAGGGGTGCCGTATAAATGGCTGACCCTGCGCTCTGACCCCAAGCTTCTCTCTCCCTGTCTGTGTGTCTCATGTAGAGCAAGCCGCGGTGTGCGAAAAGACAAGTTCCTAATATAAGAAATTGTATACGGCCAATAAAGTGATCTTATCTTATAACTGACTGAAGTAATCAGAAGTAAGGAAGTGTTCTCTGATCATTTGTGCTCCGCAAGTGAAAATGAACTGCAGTTAGAATTGAACAGCTGCCCATTACCCCATGCCAAGATAAGCTGGTGGATTTTGGGGAGAGTTCAGAGCAGCGATGTCTTGAACACACTTATGCGTTTTCCAATCACATGTGGGTCTGCGTTTATTTTACCACACAGTTATTACATTTCCTGGTGTCCTGTTCCTTCAGGCCTAGCTCTCAGCCTCCGGGTCAGCGGTGCTGGGCTGGGCTGCTCGCAGGGGAGCTGGCGAGTTCCTGGCTGGTCATGTGAGAGCAGCGGAGATCCGGACAGCCGGAGAAGATGAACAACGCTGCCGGTGGGAGCCCGGGCTCGGGCCTGTCCTCCGAGTCTTCCTCCGACACCTTCAGTGAGCTGCTGGTCAGAATGAAAGACTGCCACGACAGCGAAGTCCAAGGTACCCTGCACCAGTGTGAGCCACATCTTGCACGGTTACTCAGCCTCATTATTCACCTGCTCTTAGCAAATTAGCATTTCTCAGCTGTCTTCACACCTTTTCAGGAAGTGCACTTATTAATCTCGCAGTATATCCGGATGTATATTTGTGAGATTTCCCTCCTGCATGTGTGCTTTGTTCACAGGGTGTGTGTGGGTGTGGTACTGTTAGCCATAAGGCAGAAATTTTTTGTAGCTATCTTAATGGCTGTATAAATATACAGTAGGCCTACTTTGTAATCTCTTCAAGCCATTCATCATGGAAAAGGGAAATTTTTGTCAATATATTTGGCAGGCTCTGATGTTAAAAGTTATAATTCATTTCCATTTTAGACTACACAGGAAGAGGAAAGTTTCCGACAACTAAAGGCATTCCCTTGCGCTTGCTATGTTTCAACATATGTGCAGAAAGTGGAGTGCAGCACACAAGGAGAAGGGGAACTTGCGCAGAGCAGCTTCTATGTTGGGATCAGCAAAAACACAAACAGATTTATACAATGAATATTTTGTGCGTAGACCGCAAAATAGACTGTTTTCTCATAGAATTGTTCTTGAATTTTTGTAACATAATCAACACAGTATTTTACTGTTCCCCCCTTGTGCTAACTGGCTGATACCTAAGAGGTTACAAAAGAGAGGAGACCACTCAGCCCATCCAGTTCCTTTGTCTTTTTAAAGTTGCTGATTTATTCAGGTGGTTTCATCCACCAGTTTCTTGAAGGCAGCATGGATATCGGCTTCACGTGGTTTCCTCTGTTTAGTGTTTTAGGGACGATTCTGGAAAAAAATCCATTGGGACTTTTGATCCAAGGTCCCAGGTCCAAGTTTGACTTTCTGATTTTATCAGTGCATTTGAGTATTTTGATCAGTTATGTCCCCTTGAACTCATCTCTATTCTAGACCTAAAACTCTCAATTAATTTAGCCTAGTTAGTGTAGGACATTTCTTTCAACACTGAAATGTATCTGGTTTCTCTGTTAGCATTAGCAGAGCAGCAGTGTCTTTCCTGTGTTTTGTTGACCTAAAGTGTACACAGTACTCTATATTTTGGCATAACATTCCTTGCTTTAAATTCTACACTTTTAACTGTATATCATAACATTATGTTTGGCTTTTTATTGCTTCTTCACAAGAGAAAGGTCTGTGTCAACATAAACATGTAAAGTTTTTCTTATAAGTACCCTCTTCAAAAGCACTATTCTAATATTTATACTATGTTTTTGATTAGTGTGTGTAAAGTTTTCCATTGAGAAAGTGTCTGTTAAATGTCTGCTAAAGTTTTGCCCCACTATTGTCTTGAAAGTGGAATAAGTAATTTAAAATTTGCACTTCTGAAGTACTTGCAAATCCTTCTCTTTTGATGTCATCTGTAAACTAGGCTACTTTTCTAACTCTAACAGAATCTGGACCATTGATCTAAAATAGGACAAACTGTGGTCCTAGTACAGGTCCATGTGGTACTCCACTTACCATTTCCCATTTCTCTATTTCCAATCCATTACCTTGAATGCCTGCTGCCTGCATTCATAAATAATTCATTTTTTTTTTCATTTTATATCATTTTATAAACCTACTGTTTCTAAATCCATGTGAACTGTCCTTTAGGTCTGCTTCTGCAACTCATAACTGGAGTTTGTTGTTTCAAATCCCTGTTGGGGGTCCATTAAAATGCCCACCTCTGTAAATGGGTGCAGATGTAAATTTCTTACGGTAAAAGTGTCAGTTACTTTAGTAATGGTATGGTACCCGTAACCTTGCAGTTAAGAGTGGGAAAACCTACTGGTTTACAATTTCTTGCTTTAGTTTTCTTACCCTTTTTCTGGATGGTAAATACAATGTTAGTTTTCTAGCCAGTGGGTATAACCCTGTGTTTCATCACTTTTGCTGACAGGTTTGAAAGTCCTGTACCATCTATCCAAGGCATTCTGCTCGAAAGAATAGTCATTTACACTGCTAGTACTTAAGAAACCTCATGTAGGAGTTGATTTGATTGTAGCACTGAGTGTGCTCGTGTTGTTCAATAGGTGGTGTTTAACAGGAAGCTTCAGATTTCTTATTGAGACGAGTGCTTTATTGGTTTTTATAAACATCTGTCTTAAGTCCTTTTATAAGCCCCTTTGTAAATGGAGGTTATGCACTAGAAAATAAATCTTTTCTGAGCTTGTATGTATCCAATATTTAACTTTTTTAAAGACTGGTATGCACTTTTTCCAGTTAATCTTTAATGGTTTTTCAATCGGTGGATATTATTAGCGTTGGTAATCAAAGAAAAGGATTTTTAGGAAGTTAGACCGAACACTGCCCTTTTGTTCCATCGTTCATCTTGGCACGCAGGTGATAGAGTTACAGGCAGCACAGAGTAGCCAACCTCCCCAGCCCAGGCTGTGCTCCCTGTGGTTCGTATTGCTGATGTTACAATTTCAAACTCTTTCATGAACAAAGTGCCTGTTCATACAGGAACAGCATTGTTTTGCAGCCTCATACCTTTGTGTGGGTGTGGAGCAGGATTAAAGTGCTCTTCATGGGGGTTTTAATTGCAGGTGCTTAATTGATTTGATGAAAGGCAAACCTTTTTTCTCTTATTCTGTTACCTTTCGGATCTGCCTGATAGGGCACAAATGTCTCACAGGTGCTGAGTATCCCTAGGATAAAAAGATTGCTTTTCTATCACTATCAAAAGGCATTTTGATAATGCACCAAAATCATCCTTTCATGTGATCTGACTCTTTTAATTTTGTTCCCTTCCAAACTCGAGTTATGCTCAATCAGGATCATTCTGTATGAAATCTGCAGTTGCAATACTAATCTTCAGTTAACTTTGTTTTTCTGAAATGTTTCTTGAATGTTAATTATGTTGGTTTTGTAATCACAATTACAACACAATTATTTATTACATATCAACCAATGTAGAATAAGGCAGCTGAAAAGATCAGTTCTTTTGTGTATATCAAGATCTTCAAAAACATTAGATTAGACATGGTATGCATTTATTTTTGGCACATTTCTTATAATTGTCAATCTTGATGTTAAAAAAAGTTAAAACAGATCATAATGGACTTCCACATTACTGTTAATATGCATAACTCTGTGAACAATATGTATCAAAGGATTGTTAATATATTTGTTGTTCTGATGTCCATTTCCCCAAATTTCTGCATAATTAATATTTCTGCGTTTATCCAATTTAGGACTGCAAATTAAAATAAGCAAGCTGAAGAAGGAAAGATGTTTGTAAGTACAATGTATTTGATTTTGTATCTAAACATTCATATTGCACATCACTATCATCTCCGTTAAATATTTTAAGTAATAATTTTTAGATTTCTTGCACAGTGTTCAAGTCCCTGGTCTTACCATTGGACTCATCATTTATACCTGTTGTGACCTACTCTGTTTTAAAAAAGTAATATGACAGTGTTCATTAAGATATCTTTTTACTTTTCATGAAAGCTAACAGTGTTGATGTCAATGTAATTTTTCCATTTGTCATAAAAAAGGTGAATAATTTCACCTGTCAGCCCTTTTTGCACAATGCCATTTACTCATTATAAATTTCCCCAGTTTGGGGAAAGACTTTAATTTAAAAAAAACATGTTATCCATATCACTAAGGTAGTTTGTATATCAGTTTGAGATCATGGTAGGAAAATCAAAATAACATCATAGTTTTGGAATATAAAATAGTATGAATCTTGGTCAGGATTAAAAAAGAACAGTTACATTTTTGTAAATGATGTTGATGGTAAGCTGAATGCATTGACGAATGCATCTGTTGTGACATCTTCTTTAGCTTCCAAATAGCTTACTGTTTGCTGCAGTCATTACACAGGTACAGTATTTCATTGTATATAAAATAAGGTTATATAAGCTTGACTGTTCCCCACTGACCCTTCTTCAGCGCTGTAGGTTTAATGTTTCAGTGCCCATGTCCAGTCATACAATGGAGTCTTTCATGGTAGACCTTAGAAGAATAAGAGAGTAACACAGGTAATGACTGTGATAGCACTGAGTCACAGGCCCTCACTGTATTATGGTCTTGAGCCTCTGCACTCGGGGCGGTTTTCAAGTTTCTTTATTAAATCGTTAATATTTCCTGCTGAAAGCTTTTTGTTGAATTGTGTAGAATATGGTATTAATTATTCTGTTGATTTATCTTATTTGAACAGAATTAAACAGTTAGTTATTCAGGCACCACAATACCCTGTTTAAAAATAATTTAAGAGGTGTAATTTAAAATGTCACAGCTTTTGTGTACCAAGTCAAGGAAGGTAGTGGTAGTTTCTATAGACTGCGTTCAAAAGTACAAGATCAGTAACAGAAGAAAAAATGTCAACCATTGGGCCAGTATTCTCTAAAACCGGTGGATGAATGGAAGTGCTTTAGGAAAGAAGATTTCTATTCAATCAAATTAAAGTTTTATTTTTAATTTAGATTTTAGATTGTCTTCTATATAAATAAAAATAAAACAAATGGCAAAGAAATTTCGGAAGAGGTTAAAAGAGAAAGGCTTCTGACAGTGTAGCCCATTTGTTGAGACTACCAGCTAATTGATCTCGGGATCCAGGCATCTCTTGAAAGCAACCAGGGACTGGTTTCAGCAACATGCCTGGGTAGAGTGTTCCACACTCCCACAAAGCTCTGGCAAAGAAGTACTTCCTGTGCTCAGTTTTAAGAGAACCTCCATGTTTTTTCCACTTGTGTTCTATGGTATGCTTTTCAGTGTTCATTCTAACTTTATCACTGCCTTTGAAGTTGTTGAATGTTTAGATCAGACCCTTATTAGCCCTGAACAGAGAAGTGGACTACAAGTGGACCCACAGACACAGCACTCAGTTGCCACTGTCCACCTAGATTCCATATTTCTCATTCATCACAGCGCTTAATTGTGCTGTATTGCATGATCTGATCATACCTGCCCCAAGTATCAGCAAGCAACATCTTTGTCAGGACTGTTGTTCACTGTAAAAATGTGGTCAACCTTTAAGAACTCCTTGTTCTGGACTTTTTCTTTCTTCCACCCAAGTGAAGCTGTGTCTGCCAGTTCTGGTAGGAGAGATTCTTGTTTTGGGTGTTGTGTGCCTCACTGTCCCTCTCAACTCTAGAGATGCCCAAAGACTGGAAGAGTTCTATACCAAGAACCAGCAGCTCAGGGAGCAGCAGAAAGCACTCCAGGACAATGTGAAAGTGTTGGAGGACAGGTGTGTAGCTACACTGTATTTCTGTTTTTTGTGTGGGACAAAAACAAACGTGAGACATCTGGGTTTTGGCAGTAAGAGCAAACCAGTTATTTTCTTGTATTTGTCATGTCCTTGAAAAGAAGGGTATTCACTTGAAACTTGTGGTAAGTCTTCACTGGAAGTATTAGTTTTTTGTTCTGATTTTTGTATCATACTGTACTGCATAATTACATTAAATGACTTTTTAAACAGTTTGTTAATCCTTGCATTTTAATTTTATATTCTCGTTTATTGGAAAAGCGTATCCCGTTGGTAGAAATACATTGCATTTGAATTTCATATTTAAATGCTTGTGCTTTAAGCTGAGTTTGTTTTTACGAGAAGCATTACAGCCGAAATTATAAAGTAAAGTATACATAAAAATCTTAAATGACATGTTTCAGACTGAGAGCGGGATTGTGTGACAGATGTGCTGTAACCGAAGAGCACATGAAAAAGAAGCAGGTGGAATTTGAAAATGTCCGGCAGCAGAATCTCAGACTAATCACTGAGCTTAGTAAGTACTCAAGCCTTTGCACTCAATGAGCTGTTCATTGCAAAAAAAAGTTAAATGCTATGCTTTCTACGTTTTTCCTGCACCTTTAAATTGACCTTTGTGAGAAAATGTTTTCGTGTGTCCCTATAACCTGCCAGGATTAAAGAATTTGTTTAAATCCTGAAAGCTCCAGCCACATTTTTTTATGGCATAGCCTAGTGAAGCAAATTAAAAATGTTATCAGTGTCTGCATCCTTCAGAGGGTACCTCAGAGACAGAGAAGCAGATCCACAGAGAAACACAGGGCCTTTCTTTGCACACAGCACAATGAGCCTTTAGAGGGATGTAGGCTGATGAAGTCAAGCAGACAGCAGAATTAAGGTATTATCTCTTGGCTGGACTCAAGGGGAAATGGCTTGTTTTGCATTCTTACAAAAAAAAAAGTCAATGATGTCTTTGTTTTCTCCCTCCTGTGTCTTTCACAAGCAAATGTTAAATAAGAAGCTAGTTTTAACTTCCATGTGTTGTGCTGCATTCACAGAGTTTTATTTATCAAGGATTGGATTCTCCTCATGATCCAGCTGGCAAAGCTGTCCACAAAATACAGCTGAAACAATAATTTCAGCAAGAGTCTGTGTGCAGTCTGTTCATGTATAGATCTTTCTTTGCTTAAACATTTTAAAAGCTAGCGTAAGCTGAAGAGATGAACTCTAACATTAGTATACCTATGACCAAATACTATGTCATATTGACTAATATTGGTAGTTAATCATTTTAATTATAATATATACTATTGATAAAATATGTGTCAAAAATGAGTAAATTAGTGGGTGTCTTTTGTGCTATTTGAAGGTAACTTGGTATCCTACAACATTTACAATAACTCAATTTACATTATAGTTCATTGCATCTGTGAGTGTCACAGCTGTTACTACGTGTACTGAGTTTCTTACAGTCTTACTGTAAATTAGCAGTTACAGTTCAAGTGGCTGTATTGTACAGGATGCTATAGTGGTTTTTGCCTGACATTGAAAAAGCATTATAATGAGAATGAGAAGAGAACAATGGAGTCATATCACAGTGGCCCTTAACACTAAACCAAGATGTTTTTTCTAAAAATGTTTTATTGTTAGTAGTAAGAAGTACCGGAATGATTGTTTGTGGTAATTTTAATGTTTCTGCTTTTTTGCAAAGTGAATGAAAGAAACAGTCTCCAAGATGAAAACAAGAAGCTTTGTCAACAGCTGGATCAGCTGAAGAAGACCGCGTAAGTCCGATCCTGCTCTTGGTGCTGTGAGGGCTCGTGTGGGCAGTGACGGAGCTAGGCCCTTTGTCGTGCCAGGGAGAAGATGCTGCAGGCCACCGAGTCGGACCAGGAGGAGGGGGTTATCCCAGACTCGCCGGTCCCGCAGGTCTCGCAGTCCGTGGTGAACAGAATGAGGAGGAAGAGGGACAACAGGAGCTGTCGGTTCTCGGAGAAACCCTCCGAAGCCCATAAGTCACCACCACCTGATGGTAAGCCTGCGTTGGTTTGCATGTTGATGAACAGTAGCATATGTAGTGTGTGCTGTGTGCAGGTGTGGGCGCTCCCCACATAGCTCACCGGGTACTGCACTACCACATCACTGATCCCCAGTGGCCCAGCACACCAGACCTGCTGGGCGGCATGGTGTGTCCGTAAGGAGGACTTTACCATCAACTAGTGAAGACAATGGACATATGGTCACAAAGGTGTTGTTGAAGGTGCAATTGTATTGATGCATAATAGTAGTTATAAAAAAATATGATACACGGTTGTTTCTGAATAACGTAAATAGATCAATGATCACAGTATATTGCAAGAAATTCATGTCTTGCCAAACCCCACAATAACTGTAAAAATACAACATTTTAAAATCTGCTCTGTTCTTCTCTAAAACATTTTTCTTTGTCCCTTACTTGCTGAGAGCCTGCTGAGTTGCAACACATTGTATTGTGTGGTAAACTAGTCAGATCCAAGATTTAAGAAAATGTTTGTGGGACAGGATTTTAGGCACCCTGTGATAAACTGAAATCAAGAGCTATTACAACTTGTACGGTTGTTCAAACATACCGTGTACAGGCTATTGAAAGCCTAACACAAAAAGAATCAAGATAAAAGAAACATAAAAAACTCTTCAGAACGTAAAGTCGTATCTTTTAAAGCTGCTGCATTGACCCGTCATTCTAAATTTTCTTCTTGTTGCCCACAGGCTGAGAGAGGCAGATTAGCATGCCAGACAGTTTCTTGTGCTTAAAATCTATATTTTTGACCTGGAGATAAAAGTTGCTGATCTGATTGATGTTTAGGCATTTTTCACAAGTTTTGAAACATGGCAGATAATGTTATGATTCAGCAAAACGAGGGATGTCAAGACACTTCTCTCTTTTTCTGATAACAATAGAAACCTCATTGATAAAATATGAAGCTCCAAGAAAATAATTTAATTGGCTCCTTCCTGTGTTTGGCATTATTGCTGCCACACATATTTTCAGAAATATTTCAGAAAATCTAGGCTGAAAGAGAACTTTGAACTTCATTTTTGGAGAGTAGGAGGTCCATGGTTTGTAATTCCTAGTCATGTTCTATACCGCTTAATCCTTTATACAACTTCCTGGATATATGTGTGGGCATCAGGTACGGGCCAGGCAGTGGTCTTATTTTTTTAAGCACCTGTTAAACTTTTCAAATTACAAAACCGTACAGTTTCAGACACCTTTTCATACTTTGAGCACTTGATCAGCTTTGTATGACTGGTTTAATCATCGTGTGTTTGCACTTCTGTTCACGTTATAAATAAAAGTTGGTTTTGATTTTTTTTTTTAGAGCACAAGCAATGCACGTCTGAACTAACTTTGCATGGTAAAGGTGTTTTGGTTCCAGAAACGTGCTCACTGGAGGAAGCACCAATTTCAAGTAAGGATTAACAGCTTCTAAATAAATAGATTTTTTCTGGAGAAATCCAGATTTGCTCAGACATAAAACTCAAGAAGGCAGCACGGTGGTGCAGTGGTTATATTGCTACTTGCAGAGCTGGGTCCCTGGGTTTGGTTCTGGGCCTGGGGTGTGCTGCCTGTGTGGAGTTTGTGTGTTCCCCCCCTGCCCCTCTTCACCTGGGTTTCCTCCAGGTCCTCTAGTGTCCTCCCACAGTCCAGATACATGATGGTGGGTTAATTGGCTTCTGGGAGAACTGGGCCTGATGTGTGTGCGGTTCTGTGTCTGTGCGTTCTCTGCCATGGACTGGCGTCCTGTCCAGGGTATATCCTGCCTTGTGCCTGTTGCTTGCCTGGTTAGGCTTCTATTCCCCTGCAACCCTGAATTGAATGAAACGGTTATAAGATGGTTATAAACGGAAGAAACAAGTCAGTCACAGGAACCCTGCAAACACAGGTTCATGTGTTCATCCAGCCATCGGTTCCTGGTGAGGGAGCATTGTTTGTCTTTATGATCTGGGTTATGAACATCAGAAGCACACAGGGATTTTCAGACTGTACCACCACTTAGAAAAATCATGACCTGTGAGACAGGTAAGAGAAAAGTCTTTCTGGGAAGCTTAATGAAAGCTTGTATCCCTGCCTAACTTTCAGAAAGCCGAGGAAGTTTTCCTGCTGAAGATCCCAGCGGGAAGTTAGCTGGTGTTGTTGCTGAAACACTTGGAACAGGATTTCCCGAGGAGTCAGTAAGTGGCTGAATTTGGTTTCTTCATGTCTTATACCCAACCAATATCACTTCTGCAAAGTGGATCCAAAGGCAGAGGCTGCACAGTCCTGATGATTCTGTATCTTTTGGGGTTTTTTTATAACTGGACTCAGTATTGCTAAACAAGCTTTGTCTTCATGAGCATGCTTCCATCTATAAAGGAAAGAAAAGGGTTATAGTTCAGAATTAAAAAATACTGTGTGTTTGTAACACTCCTTGACTGTTTGCAGTGTTTTGCAAGAAGAAATACAAGAAACAATGTGCCACGTTTGTTTGTCTACATGTGTGGATCTACTTGAACCCTTTACCTGCTTGAGAACATGCGTTTGATGCAGCTTTCTGTTGTCATCAGCTGGGCCCGTCCAGTTATAGGAAACGGATGCGGGATATTTATGAACTTTTGTTCACACGAATTGTGATTGTGTTATTGTAGGAATCCCTCTGTGTTTTGGGGCCCTCTGTCAAAAGCAGTTCGGTGGCTGCTGAGAAACAAGAACACGCCTCTAGAAAACTTCAGTCTAATGAAGCTGTCCAAGCGAAGGACAGTCATCTGGGGTAAGGTGGATGCCTTATATATTATATAATACCTTATAATTTAATAGAGGTACTAGATGTGTACTACTTGTTTTTTTTTTTGTTTATCTTAATATGTTGTAACCAATTAAATTATTTGTGCAGTCATAGTAACAGAAGGGTTTGCTTCCTCTCTTTCCCAGATATGCGCATCCATCTCCAGATTCCGCACAAAACAGAGACTGGCTTCTGCGCCAGAGGAGCTCTCCAGTGTTTGGCAGCTCTGGGAGACTCGTTAAAAAACCTGACCTTGCGGACGAAAGATCCCCTTCTCTCTTGGGACAGCACGTGAAAGCCCCCCCCCTTGCGAGTCGACTGAAGGCGCTGAGCGAAGACATCCCTCGCATCGCACCTCTTAAAACTGGCCTTTCCACTGGCCTCTCTTTACAACACAGGGAAGAGCCTGGAGAAGCCGGAGGTGATAGACCAGTGTGTGTCAATGGCAAAGCAAGGGTTGCCAGCCCCTGTTCAGCGCTGGTAGAAAGCAGTCAGGACGTGGCCGCTTCAAAGCTGGAAAGCGGAGTGAAGAGGAGAAGTGAGGCAGGCAGTGCCTCCGACAGAAACAACAGCGCTGTCAGCAGCCGGGAGAATGTCGCAGACGACCCAACAGACAAGCCTCTCGACCTGTCCGATAGGCCACACAATGACCGATCACAGGGCCGGGAAAGGAAACCTACTCCCAAAGACAGGTTAAAACAGACCACTTTGTTTGACTTGCAGCAAGCATCCCAGAATTCCCTGCTGAAGCTGTACAATGGAAGGTCTGTCCCTTCTAAAGACTCCCGGGAGGACCCTTATCTACAAGAAGCCATAAGGAGATCAATCAGTAACAAAGACCAAGACAGGAGGCCAGAGAAAAAAATCAACCCACACGTTTTCCGGATACCGGCAACTCCTCCTGGGAACAAGATGGACACAGAGCAGCTGCTTGATATCAAGGTATGCATCCTTCCTGCTGAGATTGTGAGGCAGCCATTTTCCCTCCAGATTTTGCATGAGCTTAACCCTATAGTGCAATAACTCAGTAGAAGTTAGTATCTACTTGTCTTATTGCTTATTGCAATTAAGTATTGCAAAAATAAACTGTTTATCCATGTAGAGTTAACTTCACTAGTGATCTTAACCCTAATTTGCAAAGACAAAGCAGTGTTCAACAAGAACAGTCTCATAAAAATACAACACTAAATACATTTGCGAATATCATTGTTGGAAATGTAGTATGTATAAGATATGTTTAAGAAGAGATAAGAAATCCCTTTAAGTACCCTGCATCAAGATGACCTTTAAACTTTATTTGAAACTTACATCCAGTTTCATTAGACCACTTACATGTTGTGCCAGAATAAGAACAGAAGACATGCCAACCAAGAGAAAGTAAAATCATATACTGTAGCACTTGTTGGTTCCATTTTGAAATTGACTTAGTGGAAATGGACTCATTTTGCAGTGCGAGAGTGCTCTCCAGTGTGCATTAGGTGGTGCTGTAGAAGCAGAGTAAGAATAAAAAATCTTTATTGCATTAGCATAGCGCTTATGTGCTTGGAACAGTTAGAAATGAAAGGGTGTGTGTTAAATGTGTGAAGTGTGTGCGAACACATGAAGTACTCTGTGCTGTTTTGCTTGCAGACCCCCGATGCCCAGGAGCCGATCAGAAAGAAGAGCAGAGTAGCCAGTAAAGACTGCGAGCAGACCTCCGTGCTGCAGCCCAACCCGTGTGCTGTCACAAAGAGGAGTCCCTCGGAGAGAGACGATGGTAACAGAGCTGAAACCTGCTGTCCGTCTTTTTACAACACGCATCCGGGAAAATAAAAAGGTGTAGAGCAGCCTTCCATCACAGTAATGAAATCTCGAGCCTGCCGCCGTGCACGAATGCACGTGAACAACGAGTCGATGCTGCCGAGTATTTACAGCGCCATGGCCAGACTGCAGTGGAGAATAAGGGGGCAACGATTTACACTCATTCTGACTTTCCTGTGGTTTGGTGGAAAAAAAGAGCAAACATGAATCGTGTCTCAGCCTGACGAAGGAGAGCTGACGCCCTGTTTACAAAGGAACGCCTTTTTTTTTGGAATAGTGGAGCTCAGGTGAAATACGAGCATGGGTTCGGACCTGGAGGTGGCCCTGTAGTCTCAGTTGCATTTACACACAGCCTGTGCGATTGGTGTCGTTGCAGCCCTCTGCTCCACAGGCTTATACAACCGGTGGACGGGGGTGTGAAGAGATTCATTCTTACCAATTGATTTGCTTAGCTCATACCCTTAATTCAGGGCTCCTCTTCATGAAATCAATAGCTAAAGTCTGGGTTACGGTCTAGTTGGGATGCTTTCACCCTTCTGTCGTAAGGTACCTATTTGTTTCTACTGAATCCCCCAAATGGGTATATGTGGATTTTTCAATGAGCTTGTGTTCGGTCACAAAGAGCGATTGCTTCCATGCCACAGAAATGATATGAATATCCCTTTGTTGTTTTTTTTAAATAAGAATGTTTCTGTCCATCTCCTCAAAGTTTCCAGTTGTTTTGTAAGAGGTAGAGTGTGCTGTCTTGAGCCTGGTCTTTGTGTCCTCTTTCTGAAGGCAAACCCCCTGCCACAGACATGACGTGGAGCCTGGATCCTGGAGCAGACCTCTCCCAGTACAAGACCGACAGCTGCTTAAACCCAGAGGTATTCTGCAGTTTTCTTCTGATGTCTCTCTCATATGAAACCTGGAGCAAATAAATGTTGCATCTCGGTTTTTGTTTTAAAGTGTTTCCACAGTCATGGTTTATATTGCATCTGGGAACTGATATTTGTTGGCGATATAAGTTTTTCTCTAAATATTTTTCTATAGAGGAACAAGTAAGGGTTTATTCCATGCTGAAAAGAGTCACACACCTGAAGAAAGCCCCACAGCCAAAACGTTGTGTTTCTTGTCTTCTCTTTTCAGAAGGAAATAAACCTTTACTTGTTCCTCTGCAGCCTACGCATGCTGACACAGCTGCCTACTACTCCCATTGGTCTTTTTTACATTTTATTGTGTTAAAATATGGAATCATAATGTTTTTTACTCAGAGTTTCTGCCATTGATTGATAGAAAATATCAAAATGTCAAAGTGAAAACTAAATTCTACAGATCCCTCTTTTGTACTTGTAAATACAAAACAGAAAATAACTGATTACATGAGTAATTAAGTATTCACCCCCTTTAGGTCAGTATTTGGTAGAGGTGCGTTTGGCAGAAATTACAGCCATGTGTCTGCTTGAATAGTTTCTACCAGCTTTGCAGATTTGGACACAGCAATTTGTGCTCATTCTACTTTGCAAAATTGCTCAACCTCCCGCTGGTTGAATGGGAACAGTTGGTGACCAGCAGTTTTCAACTACTACCACAGTAAAGTAGTAGAATTGAGATCAGGCTTTGACTGGGCCACTCCAGAACATTAACTTTTTTTTAACCACTCCAGTGTGGGTGTATGTTTGGGTCTTTGTCCTTTTGGAACATGAATCTTCTCCCAAGTCCCAAGTCTCTTGCAAACTGCAGCAGGTTTTTCTGCAGGGAAAAACTAAGGATGCTGCTGGAAACATTATTAGTTGGGCCAGTAGGGGGCGCTCACCCTGCGGTCTGTGTGGGTCCTAAAGCCCCAGTTTAGTGACGGGGACACTATAAGGTGAAAAGGCACTGGCCTTCGGATGAGACATAAAACAGAGGTCCTGACTCTGTGTGGTCATTAAGAATCCCAAGGCATTTCTCAAAAAGAGTAGGGGTGTAACCTCGGTGTCTTTGCCAAATTTCCCCATGGCCTTCTAGCAATCATGGCCTCCTAATAATCCCAATCTATGAATTGGCTTCATCACTCTGTTCTCCTCCCCACTGAGAGCTGCTGTGAGGTGAGCGTTCTGGTGCATCATCCAATTTGGGCTGCACATGACCTACTGGATAAAGAGCTTTCAGTGGAGTGTCCAGAGAAACGCTACATAAGTGTAAGGAGTTGTAAAGACTTCTTAAGACATTCGGTTGCACCAGAGCCTGTTTGGGTTTATCTTAGTAAAGGGTGTGAATAATTATGCAGTCACTCATTTTTCTGTTTATAATTTATTTAAGAGGATCTGTAGAAATGCTTCATTTTTACATTCTGGCAAAAAATACAAAAAAACATTGTGATTGTATATTGTAACAGTTAAATGTCCGGGGGGATACTTTTGATAGCCACTGTATGTGTATTTAAAAGATGTCTTGGACAGTTCATATTTTTCCGAGTTTCAGAGATTCTCCAACTGATTTCCACTACACTCGGTGCTTCAAGTCCGTGCAGAGAAATTGTTTAAGGTTTACTCTTGCTCCCCCTGCTGTCGCTTCTGTCATGGTGCGGATATTCTGAAAAGACCTTTACGGTACTTGTAGTTTACTTGTGTCTAAGTCTGATCAATGACGTGTAACTAGTGGTGAGAGAGTGGGAGTAACCATATCTTTATATCTTTATGCTTCTTAACTGTGATGTTGCAGGCACATTAATACTTTGTGGAGTTCGCAATTTCCCTTCTGTTTGTTTTTGTACATTTCTTATACCTCGAGTATACTGGCTGTCCTGCAAGGAGCTGGCCCACGTGAGCTGGGTGTGTACAGTAAGTGTCTGCGTCTCCCTCTGCAGGCCGGGGATCAGGGGGCTGACGGAGACAGCGTGGACGCAGACTGCACTTTCGTCAGCAGCAGCGTGCTCCTGAGGGGGCTGAAACAAGACGAGGATGAGAGCGCCCGTTCTGGTAATTGAGTGGGGCGGTGGTGCTGTTCACGGGCCCTTCACTGAAACGGGTACATGGGGCCTTGCAAAGGCGTTCCGAGTTGCAAAATGCCGCATACACGTTTTTTTAAACTTTGTGTTTTAGTCAAAAACGTGACTCATTCAGCCGAATTAAAGACAAATAAGCAAACACTGGAGATAAAAGCTGGAGTACGTTGCTTGCATCAGTATTCAGACCCATTAACTCAGTATTTGGCAGAAACACTTTTGGCTATCATTACAGCCAGAAGTCTTCCTTGGTGTGTCTCTACCAGCTTTGAACCCCGGGTTGGTGCAATTTTCCGCCCCTTCTTCTTAGCAGTTGGGTTTGCATCACTTGGCACTTGGCTCCAGTTTTGTGCCTTTTTTGACCACAAGACTTTCTGCCACAGGCTTGTAGTATTACTCAGTCGCTTTCTCATAAACCCCAAGTGCAATCTGAGATGGGTTTGCTTCAGTCCCCTGCACTGCTCCTTTGCAGAGTGACTGGAATATTGCTGGCCCTTGGACAATTTCTCCCATCTCAGCCGCTGAGTTCTAACGCTTTCGTCACTGCTGTTGGCCTCACAGTGGTGTCTCCAACCAGTATCGGCTGTTTCTGCCTCACTGGTGCCCTGAAAGCTCAGTGTGCAAGATCACAGTGTCTCATCTTGAGACTTGGGTTCACCATTGGGATTCTGAGACTAACTTTGATGAATCAGTGTAGCGGAAGCGCCTTTCCTCTTCACCCATAACAGTTTCTTGCTCCGTGCTCCTCTGCTCCTCAGATGGCCGGATTGTAGGATTCATGGCAAAACTTCAACTGCTGACAAATAGTATGCTGACGGTAGCCCCAAGTGACTGTTGTTTATTCCAGCCCTCGAAGTCTGTTGTGCAATTTGTTGATGAAGGACTCCTTGAAATCTGCCATTAAGTAATTAAGTGAGAGCTCGGAAGAGTTAAAACGCGAAGGAAAAATGAGCTAGTGCATTGCTCACCCTCGACAAAGTTGGTCAAACCTGGTTTCCCATAAGATCAGATCACTTTATTGGCCATATACAATTTCTTGCATTAGGAATTTGTCTTTCCACATACCCCAGCTTGCTCTCCATGAGACACACAGACAGGGAGAGAAGCTGGGGGTCAGAGCACAGGGTCAGCCATTTATACGGTGCCCCTGGAGCAGTTGGGGTTAAGGGCCTTGCTCAGGGGCCCAACGGAGTAGGATTCTTCTGCTGGCTGCAGGATACGAACCAGCAACCTCCCAGCCACAGGCTCAGATCCTGAGCCATGGTGCCGCTGTTTCGCCCCGTGTTCTTGGTCCCTTTCCTTATATGCAGTATCTGTGTTACTAATGGGTCTGTGTTAACAGTTTTCATTTGCTGTTGACAATTCTGTCTGCACGGCTTTCTACATTAACGAAGCACTAACATGATGTTAAATGATGTTATGCTTCTTAACCGCTTGCTGGTACAGTATATACATGCATGTTTTTAAGAAGTTGTGTTGTTTTCAGAATTCAGCTGCTCTGATTGTAAATAAAACTAAAGCATGAGCATATCTCTCCTTCTTTAGCTTTCCTGTATAGTTCAGAAAAAAAATCAAAATACTGTTCCTCAGCTAAAAAAGCTTGAATGTTGTGGCTCCTGGCTGTACCTGTAGACTAACTATGATTCTGATCATCACACAGAGATGAGGGATACTCAGACTACTGTTTTCTTGTATCTTATGTGTCTGTTTCTTTTATTCTGAAACAGAGAATCACATTTCATCAGTTTTCTGCTAAAAAGTTTATACGACTGTGCTGAAGGGAACAAATGTCAAGACACTTGCTTATGAAGATAAGCCGTTGGTTTTGTTGTTGCTCTGTTTCTTTTCTGGCTCTTATACAAATGCTTAGGGCAGTCAGAGTGAATCAGATGTAAAACTTCTCCTGCTTGTCACAGCTTTCAGTGACGACCTTGTCTGTGTGTCCACAGCGGGTGGTGGACAGCGAGGAAATGACAGCCTCGCAGAAATCTTTGACCGGACAGTCTATGGGGAGTACGAGTCCTGTCCAAGGGGCGACAGTCTGCAGCATGAAGGGGACCTCGAGGAAGGGGAGAAGTCTATCAACAGTAAGCCTTTTTTAGGCCTGTAAGGGGCTGGAAAGGGTTCAAGAATTAAGATAGTAGCTGAGGTAGATTCAGATGTGGACTATATGCTTTCTTGCACAACACTAATGTTAGACTGCACATGGTGGAAAGTGCATTTGTGATTTTGGAGTATTTTGCCTTTAGAAAGACATCCCACTGAAAATTTTCTACACAAGACTCAGCTGTAATATCTACTATGGAGATATGCATGTTGACAGTACTCTACAATGCTGAGGGTGATTCTATAGAACGGTAATGATTACTGCCAGTTAATGTAGCCAATATAAGAGGAATCAGGCCAGCTCCAATCCTTTCTAACTTTTATAGTGCTTTCTTCTTACCTTTTCCCAATAGCATCTGACGAAAAAAACAATATCCAGAGCCACACTTTTGTAGAACCTTGTTTAATAACCAAAGGAAGGTAAGACGTTGATTTAAAATAATGCTCATTATTTTACTGATGGTTGTGTCTATTTAATTACCTCTTGCGTTATTTTGTTAAAACTGTACATTGTGCTCTTTAGACATAGAGAATATTGTGCATTTACTGTACATCACTGTGTGTACCGTGAATAGAATACTGTGTACTTTGTGATCACTGTGATCCAGAGAGTGCAGCCATATACATTCCTGGGGTTCAAAGGAGTTAACTTCTTAAGAATCCAAACTGAAACACGAGCCAGAAGACGGACAGCGCTTCTGTATGGAAACGGCTGTGGGAGTCTGGAAAGAGCTGCCCAGCCATGCTGGTGAAACTGCTGCTCACGGAGGAAGCTTGATAAATAGCCTTGGTGGATCAGTGGGTGAGCTCCCCAGGATGACTTCCATGGCCCAGATGGGTAGTGTTTATCTTGTTGTGTGGCGATTGTGAAGGAGCCACGACAGTGTTCTGTAGCCTCACCAGAATGAAGCCTTGCCCAAAATATTTCATCCTGAAATTATTGGCATGTACGAAATCGGGCGGTCTCTCACATTACATGAACCTACTGTGTACATCAGTCTAGGAACCTTAACGCATAGTGTAAAGATCCTTTGTTTCGTAAAGATAAACGGGAAGAATGTGGTGTAGAGAAAGGTATCGCGTCACACCTCTCCTCCGGTTCCTTAGAGCGAACACCACCCTGAACTTTCCTCATGTGGACGTGGTGCGCAGGAGAGAGGAGAGGAAGAAACTGCAAGGACACACGTGTAAGGAGTGTGAAATTGTGAGTAAAAAAACGAGCTTTTGAGCACCTTAAACGACTTTTCATTTTAAAAGGAAAGGAACTAAGTCCCTGGAAGGAGTTAGGATGCCTGTTACAGAAAGGACATCCGCCCTCTGAACTCGAGACAGTGTAAAACTGGCAGGGGACCTGGTCTCTTGGCGTGGCAGAATGATCCGCAGTCTGGGGGGGGCGCTGTGTGGCCAGAATCGAACCCCAGCAGGGGCAGGGAGAGCTGCAGGTTTCGTGTGCCGTGTCTTCTGAAGCTAGAAGCACAAAGCCTTCCTATCTCAGTCATAGATCAGAATGAAAAACAAGCGCTTTATTTTATCACGGATCCTCTGCCCGCTGTTTAAAACGCATCGAGTTCCTGCTCGATGACAATGAGAGATCGGCACTTGGGCCAGAGTCCATGAAGAGTGTCAATGTGGTGTTTGCGGCCCTTCAGTATTACGCAGATCTGCCGGAAGAGGAGCGCAAGAAGAAGCTGTCGTCCTGCTCCAGGCACAGGTTCAGATACATCCCTCCAAGCACTCCGGAGAACTTCTGGGAGGTGGGCTTTCCCTCCACACAGACCTGTGTGGACAGAGGTGGGAGCCATCACTGTTCTTTGATAACCCTGGCACTGTTGTTTCTGCAGGTGTTTTCCCGGAGCCCAAAAACCATTCAGCTTTAATTCTCTATCGTTATTAAGCAGAGATTTCCTATTGTTTGGCCGCACTCAAAGTTTTGTAAGCTCACATTTTGATGCAAAGCTGTGCGAGCTGTGTACTGCGTAGTGGTCAGACGTTGCCTCTCATTTCCAGTAGGTGTTACATTTGTCCTATGCTGCCAGTTGGATTAAACGCAAAGAGCTTTTTTTTTGTTCTTCAGGGTACATCAAAGATGATATCGAACCACCCCAGCGTACGAGGAGGCGCCGACCTTATAACGCAATATTTTCACCTAAAGGCAAAGAACAAAAGACATAAAACCTGATTCTAAGGCTGCACAAGGAGAACAAGTAAAGGCCAGATTTTTTTAGGTGTAAAACATGATTATTGGGGAAAAAGGAGTGAAAAAAAAACTAAAGGTGCAGGAAAAATTGCAATTGCAGTCTAAATCTCAAGTTACTTCAGAATCGGAAATGCTGCAAAGACTAAACTTTGGCACTCGTATCGCAACTTTTCCCTAAGCTGGAAAGGCTACAAACCGAACAGAAGCTTGTAAGAAATGCCATCACTGACTAAACGTCAAGCTAAGCATATGCTCAATGGCGGTGAACTTGGAGAAGCTTATTCAAATGTCTTTTAACAACATACATTTTAGCTGCATCACAGTGCTCATAGGAACTTCATGATTGTGAAGTAGCAACTGTAATGTCTGTCATTATAAGGAGTGTACAGTGCTTTGTCTTTTTGTTTTCAGTCCTTTACTGTACACATCTTCACTCAGACATATGGTACAATGAGTCTCTTGTCTGTAACGTGGAAATAGTGTTTAGCATCGCTCTGAATTCTTTGTGTAATACAGAAAGGGCTTACAATTTGTACAAAAACTTAGTTATCAAGCTCTGTTTTGTATCGCGTTTTGTATTAAACAAATGCCAGAAAGCATTTTAGACTTCAGAGGGCAGTGGCTGCTTGTGCAGGGACTGAGATGATGGGTCACTCAGATTCCCCTCTCTAGATTGCCTGTTCCTGCAGGATGCCAGACACTATGGTTTTGCTCACTTAAGTTTAATTTAGGCCTCCAGAGGTGACAGTCTCATGGGTGTAGTACACAAACATATTTATTTTAGAAGGTTTCTTCCTTTATTTTTATCATTTGTTTTCTAGAGGCAGGCTTTTCAGCTGTATCTGCTGTTTCTCCTTCTAGCTGAGCTCTGTTACTTAACCAGCACCTTCAAACCTCACAGTAACACTCTGAACCAGGCTTCAGGTTGTTATCTGTGGATAATAATCAAGTCTGGTTTCAAGGCTCCTGTTTAAGAGCTGTGAACTGGGGTGTATTGGAAACCAGCACCAAGGGGACATTCAGGACAAGGGAGTTAGAGGCCCTGACTTGAACCATATGCTGACCATTTAAAATTAAGTAAGGCTTAAGGCTGTAAGGAAAAATATCTATTTTTGCAGAAGTCCTGGTCAGTTATTTTTTTCTTCCATCTGTTCTTATGTGTGAAATCTGTAAATATTTCAGCTGTCCGTGTTTGTTTATTGTGTCTGTTTTGTAAAGTTTTTTCAAATTAATAAAAGATCGAAATGCCTTTGTCTGCGCCTTCCTTGTGTATAATTGGAGGGTTGCCTGTAAAGCAGGTTTGACCTGATTGAAAAAACAGAAAGGGCAGTTTCTCAAACTCTGAGCCATCTGTGCTAAGACCTTTTAATATTTTAGATAATAATTAGGATGCTAAAATGTTTAACAGAAGTTGACTTGAATTGATTTGTATTTATTGTAGTGTTGCAATTAAATAACAGACATGCTGTGTATATCTTAAAAAAGCCAAAACTAGTTGGCAAGAAAATAATTTATTTGCACAAGCTAGCATTTGTTGCTATAGTTCCAAGCCTTTCAAAACATTATTAATGGGTTATGTTTTGATGATATATTATAATTTTTGTAACACAAACTATAGGTAGTATACATGCACTAAAGTTACTAAAGTTACTTTCTTGTTATATATACTGGCATTTTACACATTTGATCCTGCATCTCAATCGATGTTTTGTTCTTCATTGTCAGAAAACTTCACTTCAACAGTATTTCAAGGTAATCTGGTAGCAAAATATTTCCTTTGTTTTCCACCAGAGGGCAATAGGGAGACGCACCATATATTTCAAAGTGAGGTCCGTTTTGTTTCCAGTTGACATTTTAAATTTAACATTTTCGAAGTGAGTTAATGCAATGATTGGAAGCAAAATATAGGAATGACAAATCCTAAAAACGAATGGTTTTATGTACAGGTCATTTATTAATGTGATGGGTGGCTGTCAACTGACTCGTATAAGTAAGTTGGTGCACTGTTTCGTACTTTCCCCACAGACTGCGAACTGAGCCTCACCCTGTAATCAAAGTGACTGCAGTCAGCAGAATATCATAATTCACAGTATATTAGGTACAAATAAACAGGAACTTTTGCTTCAGGGCTTCCCTGAGAAAAATTAAATGTATATTTTGGGTTTTTGGCAAAAAAAAAGAGAATCCCATAAAGTCAAATAAATCAATAGCTTCTAAGGGCTTCTAACACTATTTGTGTGGTTGTGGTTTGAATCCTCTGAGAAGAGGAATTAGAGGCCCCACTAGGATGAAGGACAGTGGCAGGCGATCTCTCTGGATCCTGTTCTTCATTGTCATATTCTCAAAAAAAAAACCTAAAAATGTACTGATGCTGCGAAAGATTCTGCTTTGAGGCTGCACAAGCTCACAAAAACTAGGTTATCAGCTGTTCACACATACTGCTAATTTATGCTGTGCATATTGAGCAAGGTCCTCCGCTTTGGAACATGGTGAGTAAAGTGTTTTTATTCCCTGGCTCCTTGCCATGGGTGGAGATGGTGTGCACATAGCGAATTGTGAGTTTCCCAGCAAGAAATTCTCCAACTTGGGAAAGGATGAGGTTTGGCTTCCTGAGATGCGCTTGGAGCTGGGTCTCCGCTGACAGCTCCACCAGCCCTGCACCGCGTTCCTCTGCCTGTGTCCTGTCCCACTCCCTGACACCCCCTTCTCTCCTCGTCTCTCCTGGCTCCCCGTACTCTCTCTCCACACTCTGTTAGCACCTTTGAGTTTAAAGCTATTGAAACAAATCTCTTCCTTCTTAACTTATTATGATTCCCTACTGCTATCATCCTGTGATGAACTAGTTCTTCCCTTCTTCTGTCCCTTCCTCCTCCCCCCACCTCTACCTCAGTAATCTCACTAGGTGACTTCAGCTCCTCAGTAATTGGCTCCTTTCTCTTTCAGTTTCTCCCCCAGCTCACTCAGCTGGCCATCAGCTGGATCGTGCTTTCTCTCTCCCTCTCACCCTTCACCCCCTTCACTGTTTCCACCCATTCTCTCCCCCCCATGTCATCTTCCTCCACCAGCTCCCTCTCCAGTTTCTTCTGCCCTAAACTCTGCTTTCTTTCTTCTTTCACATAAACACTCGTTTCTGAGACGTAGCACAGACTGTCCTCGGCTCTGAGTCTCCGACTGCCTGTGTTCACTCCCTTCTCTCCCTGCCAGCTCCTCCCCACACAGTTTTCTACCTGTGATCCTCATGAGCTCTTCTCCACCTTCTCTTCCCTGCTCGGCAGTCATCCTGCTCCTGCCTCCTCCAATTCCACCTGTTGTCCCCACTTTTCTCTGCCAAAATCTCCAACATCCACAAGGTCTTTAACATGTCACCTCCTCCTGCAGCCATGACCCCCACCAGTTCTCTCTCTCCCCGTCTCCCTCTGTCACATTGGAGGCCACGACTGGAGTCCAGCTTCCCTCTATTTTTTATAGCTCGCTGTGTCAGGAAGGCTGGAAACAGTCATCCTGGTTTCTCCCCCCTTCCCACTGGTCAGCGTTACAGGAGCATAAAGGCACAAACTTTCAGCTTCAGAGACAGCTTCTTCCCGCAAGCTGTCTGATCACTGAACACCACTGACTGAACTCATCTACATCACTATGCACACTGATGGTTTTTTTTTTTCCCTCTTCTCACACTGCTTGTCTGACTTGGTTTTTTAGTTGTATGTTATGTAACTCGTTGCTGCTCCTGCTGCTGCTGCTGCTGGTGATTCTTTAATGTCTTTGTATTGGAGCATACATGCAAATAAGCGTTTCATTGCACTTGTGCATATGACAAATAAACTGAACTGAATATGACCCACAGACTCAAGACTCAAGACAGCCTGCTCAGGGGCCAGCAATCTTGCACTTGCATTAGTGCAACAAGTCCTCATTGAAGGATGTGGATGAGAGGTGAGAGGTCACAGTGTTTTCTAAACAGAAGAGTCTTGAGCAGGTGTTGAAAGGTGGCCAAGAGGTTCGAGGCTTTGCAAGCAGGAGACTGGAAAGGCACAGAATTTCTTCAAGAATGGAGAGAGTCAGTGAGGGTGCAGGGAGAGATCGGAGACTGCTGCTAGGCTGGAGCAGAGCGACCTGCACAAGGGTAAGTGACAGATAGTCTTTTGCATCGGATGTGCTCACAGCAATAGGCAATGTCATGAAAAGAGTGAGGAAGACAGACAAGCTGCAGAATTCTGGACAGGCTGAGCTGGATGAGATGATGTTGACTGGAAGCCCAGCTTCCTCAGGGAGAGTGAGTTAAAAGAGTTCACATGTTGGGACAGTTCTCTGTGGGGATGTTGTTCAAGAAGAAGCAGGAGGAGCATGCCAGACAAGAATATTCTGAGAGTATGAGGGGGAGGTCAAGAGTGGCACTGGGGTTCGTGGCAGAGGAGGAAAAGGTGAAAGGGTGGTAGTGGAGACTACGGGGAAAGATGGAGAGGTGCGTTGAGCAGAAGGAAGATGAAGGGGAAAAGGAGGAGCAGAGCAGACTTAGAGTGAGCTTAATGAGAGATGAGGGGGTATTCCAGAAGGAGACTTCTATGAAACATCTCCATTAACGTGAGGATCAGTGGGAGGGGAAAAGAGGAATATTTGAGTATCATCAGCACAAACATGATGGAAAAAACCGGTTCTGACTCCCATGAGGCGCGTTGTTAAAGACCGAGACCGGGAACACAATGAACTAAAAGCATGACGGAACTGGAACTGGGAGAGCCCGGGGGATAGGCAAGACTTGTGGCGTCCATCTTCCAATACTGAGCCAGGAACTGCAGAGACGCTAGGTTTTTAACCAAAAACCAGAGTGACGCAACAGGAAATCATAAAAACGAATCATAACAGAAAAGAGTAGGAGGTGGAACGTAACACATAGAATGAGAGGACAATAGACTGGAGAGGGTCAAACAGAATCTTTTTTATATAGTGCCTTTAAAAGTTGCTTTTAAAAGGGCTTTACAGTAGGAAAAAAACTCATGATATGAGATGACAGAGTCAGGACAATTAAGAACAAGGGTTTAGAATATTGCCCTCAAGGGAGTTTGTCAAGAGCTCATAAATACATGTATATAACATACAGTAAATGACAATAATACAATACAACAACAGTACAATAACATGATACAAAGGGACATTCAACATTGCTGATTGCTTTAAAATTAAAAAATAGAGAATTAGCTTATACTCCAAAAACAGCAGTAATAATAAGATAATTATTAACTACCAGCAAACAATTGAATGCTTTAAGGTATAAAGGAAGTAGACGCTGTCTTAGTATTAATACAGGGGATGCAGTACCTCCTTCCAGCAGGTAGGAGAGTAAACTCTAAAGAGTAGATGAGATTTGTGCAAGATTATTAATATGTTACTCCATTGGACATTATTGTGTCCAAGGAGCCGCCAGTAATTTTGCCACCAGTCCTGATCACTTTGTTCAACTTATTTTTGTTCTGCAAGGACGAGGCACCTCCGCAGCTCAGAATAAAACTCTTGTAAAAAGTATCAACATTGTGCTTTTTCTGAAAACTCCTTAACTACATTCAAAACTTCAACCTTCATGATGGTATAATTCAAATAAGTAAAAGTATTTAATGTCATTTAATTTTAATTTAATACTCTGCAACTTACATGGTTTATTGTTTTGAAGTGGAATACTTTTTCAGTATCTGTGAAATATGGGCCTACAATGCATGTCTGGCAGTGAGGAACTCTGAGTCTATTGTACTCTGATGAGGAGTTAAGCTGATCATTAACAATATTAAACCTACGCATCAGTGCAATTTGATAAAGATTAATCCTAAAAATTAAATTGTTAAAAATATATAGAATATTAGCTAGATAAATCATTAACTGCCTACAAGATGGAAAGTTCATAGAAATAGACATCAAAAGTGAAAGGTTAACATTTGGTACTTCAGGAAGTGGAACAGAGACCACTGCTTTACAAATCCCTATGAATGACATGGACCACAACATAATGAGTAAACTACACAAATTTGCTGTGTATTGGAAAGGCTTCCAATACCTACATGGCAACACTATCAACACAAAGAGGTATACAGAAGATTGCAAATTTGTTGACACACACCATAAGAAATGGTAACCTTGTACATGTACTGTAAGATGCAATAATATTAGTGAAAGGCACAAACTGAACATTAAAGAAAAGGAATACTGTTTAGAGAAAGGACGTGTGGTGATAGTATTATAATATTAATAGTTCCTTGCTTTATATATCACTTTCCATTCCAATGGATTCCAAACTCTTTCCATAAAGAAGATGATCTTTTTCATTCACCTCTCTGCTCTCTTGTGCAACTCCCCACCTGGTGACACACAACCACACAGGCAGAGTCAAGAGAAGGTCATTACCAACAAATTAGAGGGGATTTAAAGGAACAAGTAATAGGTTTATTCCATACTGAAAAGAGAAGAAAGAAAACACAATGTTTCGGTCGTGGAGCCTTCTTCTGGTGTGAGTGGGGATTTAGATACTTCATTAATGCCAGGACCCACAGAAGTCATGCCATGAAGACAGTATGGGAAAAAAAATGGTAGTTACTATAGTTACTACTTTTTAAGAGGTATGAATAATGTAAATACAGGGAATTCTGCTGATCTGTATCACGGATGTCTGAAGGGACAAACCGTGGAATGGCAGGAGAGCGAAATAGACCCTATGCGTAGCGGCGAGACGATGGTTAGCCCAGCCTCAGCTGTTCAGGAAATGCCATATACTGTATAAACCTGTGCCCTCAGGCCATGGACGGGAGTAACCTGGTGCTCGGCGGGTCTCAGGACATCCGAACCTCAATGCTGAGTGAGGAGCAGAGCAGACACAGGAAGTAAATAGGCTCCACAACAAGACACACTAGAAAGACATGAATAATCACAGGGAACTAGGAACAAGAGAGAAGTAGAGCGCCCTCTAGGTGTACTGGGCATGACAATCTGAGTCAAAGGGTAAATGGCGGCGTGGTGTCTCTGTGGCTAAGGATCTGCGCCTGTGGCTGGAGGGTTGCTGGTTCGTATCCTGCAGCCGGCAGAGGAATCCTACTCCGTTGGGCCCCTGAGCAAGGCCCTCAACCCCAACTGTTCTAGGGGGTGCCGTATAAATGGCTGACCCTGCGCTCTGACCCCCAGCTTCTCTCCCTGTCTGTGTGTCTCATGGAGAGCAAGCTGGGGTATGTTATAAACTGCTAATCTGCCCAGAGGAAAGAATTACCTGCCTAGCCCTCTCTAAATCCTCCTAACCCTTAATTAAGACCTGTAAGGCATAACAGGCTTCTTCTTGAAGAATTGGGGATTTGGTTAGACAAGATGGCAGCCCTTGTCTGGACCGGGAGGGGGCCGCTGCCCTCAGTCACCTGACCAGTTGCTGGAGGACAACTGGTCAGGTGACAGTTTAAAAGCAGGAAGCAAGGCCTTCCAATGGTCAGCTTATCTGCTTTCCAACCCCTGCTGTGTCACAGTGCTTTCAGAAGTCATGTCTGTCTGGGACAATTCATTATGACTTGTCTTCATATTAATACAGTTGTGGTCCACCACTAATTACATCTTGTTTTTTTTTTAAAAAAATGTTTAGATCTTTTCACTCTCCCGATGTTAGAAGATGTAAGTTCAAGACACTGATCACCGCTAGATGTGCAGTGTTTTACAGGCAAATTAATGCCTATGTGTACGTTTTATCACCTATTATATGAAAACACTTAGAAATTACTTAAAAGGAAGACTAAAAATCCAGGTGAGGAGCATTTTTCTGTTTGTTAGCAGTTATTGCAGCCAGTAACTAACCTTTGTTTCCAAAGAGGGATATGATGCAGTAGGGGAGCCAGTCACATTTGCTGTTGATCAGTGACTAGTCTACAGGTTAAAGTATTTCAAGAGCTGCTGAGAAGTTGATAATTGTAAACAGGAAGGCAGGCTGCATTTAAGCAACTGTAGAGAAACATCTCATCTCCAAAGGAAAAAAGAAATTACTTCTTTGCATCAGGTATACAAAGCATTCATTTAAAAAAAAAACAAATGGTCTTTAACTTAGTGATCTGCAACTTGTACAACATGGAGGAACTTCAATAGCAAGTCTATGTCTGTGGTGGCAGCTAGACAACCCAGATTAAAAAACCCTAAATAAAAAAGTTAGGACCTCTGGAATAAGTAGTTAGCAAGCAGTCTCTTCTTGAGGTACAAAACAGATTTGACCCAAGAGAGTGAATCAAAAGCTAAAAAATGGCACCTCGAATGGTTAAACAAATTGATTAGGACAAATGTAAGAGGAAAGAAAGTACTTTGTGAAATAATTAAAAACAACAGCATCCAGTTAGAGAAAAGGAATATACTTAATTACAAGCATAGATAAGAAAGGATATTAGAAAGGCCAAGCAAAAAGCGGTACCAAGCGGTAATGCGATGCACACCCATAACACTGGTGACAAAACTAAAACATCATACCCAGTTCGTATGACTTTTCTTATGGAAATAATAATTGGAACTAAACTGGTTGATCAATGAATGGAGACACTCAACATGGATTTAGAAAATGTTTTTCATCCTTCCAACAAGACAAGAAGGACAGAGACACAGAGCATGCAATACAGTAGACTTTATTTACAATATATTTTCAGAAGGCTTTTGGTAAAGTTCTTCATAAATAATTCTCACAGGCTGCAGTCTGAAGCGTGTGTTTGGACTGAGAAATAGTTCTTATAAAACAGAGTACAAATAAGGGATGCATGTCCAAACTGGAATGATATAATTAGTGGAGTACAATAGGGACCTGTATTAGGACCCATGCTTGTCCTATTTTATGTCAATAACCTACATTCTGGTATAGTTAGGAAACTAGTCATGTTTCAACTAGACACCTCCAACACAGAAGGATTAACAAACTATATTTAAATAAAATAACTTATCATCAAATTAAATACAAAAAGATTTAGATGAAATTCGAGACTTTTAACTCCTGGCTGATATTTAATGTAGACAAACGCAGAGTATTGTGCGTAGATACAAAATAAATTACCTGTTAATAGAGAAAGGGAAACACTTAGTTCAAAGAGGCTATTCAACTATTACAGGTGTTTAGTTGACACCTTATTTTCTAGATCATGTGGGAAAGTAATACATTGATGTTAAAATGGTACAATTCACTGGTACGACCTCATTTAGAATATTGTGTACGATTTTGACTTCCATGTTATAGAAAAGATATTGCCCTCTAGACTCTGTCCAGAGAAGAGCAGCCAGATATACATCATGTTTGATCTTAAGAGAATGCCCTTAGGTATACTTAAGGTTATACTGAATTACAGTACAAATTCAAATAGTTCAGCAAGGGAAATATCTTCGTTTGTTTTATTACTAAAAATAGTCCTTCGTGGGGTTTGTAAACTGCAGTTGCTATTATGAAACCAAATTGGTAACGCTGCAGTTCGGAAATGTTGATCTTAATTACATTCCTGCCTTCCTCGCCCTGTGCGGTTATGTCCCTCCAGAGAGGCCGAGAGCCGTGTGAAACCCGTGTCTCAGCCCTCAGACAGAATCACACGCCCGCATGCGCTCGGCTGTCGTCTCCACGCTGGTCTACTTCCAAGTGGCGGAATGTCTTGATCCCAACCCAACAATAAAGAGGTGTTTTGTTTTTTTCCCCTTGTACAGCATGAACGGCTGCGCATTCTTGGTGCGTCGCGTTGTAAGCCCAACGGAAGGGCTCTATCTGGGCTCAACATTCATGCAAGAGTTACATAACTTTGCTTAAGACACTTTCGCTGCCTTGCCAGAGCCCACCCCCCCCTCCTCGATATTATGTAATGCTTGAGGGGCCATGTGGCTGAAAAATGGAAGGAAAAACGGGGGCCCGTCCTCCTCCGGCTGCTCAGGGTGGTTATTGGCTGGGGAAGTGTTGCTTTTCTGTGCAATGTGTGAGTACCAACCCCACACGTGATCGGCCCCCCCTTGCACGGGCACGCAGGCATAAGCCCGGCCAGTTGCTGCTCGGGGAGCGCTTGTCGGCGCTAGCTCTCTGCCACTGTGCGCGTATAAATACTCATGCCTTCCCGCTGAGGAGGCAAGCGCAGCTCAGCCTCCCCGTTGTCTCGGATTCGCGCTGGTGCGGACCATGGCGGCTGCCCTGCCGATCAGGCACCCCGGCATCGAGCACTCGCGGAAACGCATAGACCCCCGCCGGAGGCAGGCGGCTCTCTCCTTCCTCAACAACATCTCCCTGGACGGCCGGCCGGTGCAGGACGACGACGGCGACAATCAACCGGGCGAGGGCTCGGTCGGGGCGCTGGAGGCACGGACTAGACAGAGCCTGGTGTCGGCGGAGAGGGCGATGTATCCGGCCGCCGCGGCTCCGGGCCAGCCGCTGGCTGCCGCTGCGGCGAGCCCGGCGGTGGTGTGCAATGCCCGGGCCGCCTTCGGGGTGAACTCGCTGCCGTCCCAGGTGTGCGCGGATCCGGAAGGGGATGCCTTCGCCTGCGGGGTGCACGCCGGCCAGCCCGTCTTCAGCTCCCCGTATCCCGCACTGCCGGCCCCGGCTGCGAGGGGCAGGCTGCAGACTTTCACTCAGGGAATCCTACCTGCCCCCTTTTCCAGGCAGGCATCCCAGACTTACTGCTGCATGGAAGCTGGGCAGATCGGCACTGCCGCCTTTGAGCTGCAGAGATCCAGGTAACTCTCCCCGGGTCGGGCTGCTGTGCATTTTCGTCCATTTCGCGCATGCACTGCCGTGCCAAAACAGGACCGTGTATTTTGGCAGGTCGCCTGCACAGCGCGTAAACACACAGGGAAGCTTGTCCCTACAGACTTCGAGGTGTTCATTCGCTACCCTTCGCCGTTCGCACATGTAACAGTGTTGTGTTTTTTTTTTTCCCCTCCTGCCTCTGGAGGACAGATGTTTCCCAGCCTGGCAACGCCACGCGTCTGCCCCGTCAGTAAAGATACAGAATTGCAAGCGATGGTGGCGAGAGCCTTGTCAAACTGCGGGGTGGCGGGTTTCGGCCGGGCGGCGCTGGGAGGGTGTCTGCAGCCCAGTGTCGGAGCCCAGAGCCCGGCTTGGTCCCTCGCCTCCTCCCGCCCCCCCCAGGCAGGCGCATTCCTCCACAGACGGGCGACCGAGCTAGTGGCTCTGGGAACAGTCTGCTTGGTCTCTAGGCCAGTGCCCGTCGTTTCCCGATGGCGATTTGGGCTCGGAAGAAGCGAGTGGCCTCCCGTGTGTGTGCCGTAACAAAGAGAGGGAGCCGGTGCTCGGCTCAGCCCAGCCCGATAGCGTGGCTTTGTTATTGTCGTGAGAGCACGGCGATCGACGGTGTCTGGGGAAAACACTGGTCACCTCAGTCTATTTATTGGCGAGGAAAATGGTGTAGGATCTTATCCATTAAATCTCTCTTTTTTTAAGTATCTTAAATATCTGTAAATATATTTGCTGTACCAAACACTAAAGCGCCGTGCACTTGGCAAACTCTCCGTTTTTGCATGAGGAGGACTCGTGAAGGTTAATTTGAGTTCAACCCTGTGGAGACACCCCCGCCTCCTGACAACCATTGCAAAGGCTTCTTTCGGTGTTGCGTGTGAAACGCCGAACCGGAGTGTCATTATTTTGTTCAGAGTGAAACAAGATGACGGTAAACAGGATTTTAAAAATTGCCGTCATGTTTTGGAGGCTATGCACAGCTCTTCCCTTCAGAAGATTCTAGATCTGGGTTGTCTGTTTATCAGAGCTCAACCTGGTCACCCAGATAAACGAGCGAGCAAGAGCGTGCTCATCTCATTAATTAACGAACGGTTAATTTGGACCCAGAAGCTTCGGAGAATTGTTGCTGGGAGGGTGGGACTAGTTTTGCGGTTG